AAAAAAGCTATTTTTTAACAAATATAAGTGTAAGGACTAAAAAATAAAAAAAATATAATCAGAGGACTAACTGTTCTCTAACAGAATAGGAAGTTATTTTTATAATAAATATAAATTTAAGGACTAAAAGATAAAAAAAATATAATCAGAGGACTAATTGTTCTCTAACAGAATAGCAAGTTTTTCGTTATCTTTGACCAAGTAGACGAAATTGAAATGAATTTAAAAGTTAATAAACTACTTAGAAATAAAACATAGTTGCTAGATTAAAATGAAATCAAGGTGATAGTTAATAGACTAAAAATTAAATTAAGCCTTCAAAAACCATCTCTCCCAAACTTTTAATTTAGATAGTTCCTTTAAGTAGAGAATATCTTTAACCACTATTAAAAGCAACTAACAATGTATTTTTCTCAACAAAATCCAGCAAGCCCTCGTAGGCATAGGCATTTCATCAAACACTTATTATATACAACCTGAGAAGTTAGAAGTTTTCTGTAACCCATTGACTCCTCACCACACCCAAAATCAAATTCAACCTTTTAAAACACATCAAGAATCCTACACACATCCTCAAACTATAGTTCTAGCCACCAAAACTACAATTAAAATAATATTTCTTCCCCCAACCTTTAGCAACTGAAAGGAGAATTTAGGCCACAAAATTAAGCAAAATAACACACAAACTAATCTAACTATACACAAGTGGAGACTCTAGTTTCAAAGCAACATCACTAATCTGTGGGATATCTATGGATGAATCTAGGTTCTGATGCAATGAACCTAACCTAATGGATTTGCCATATAAGAGATTAGTGATGGGATGAAAGGGAAGGGGAAGAGGAGAAAGAGGCATGGAGAAAAGATGAAGAAGGTCCTACTGAAAGAAGAGGGAAGAGATCATCGATGCTAGAGAAGAGAAAGGGAGAAAAATATCATTGGTTCTAAAAAAAAAAGGGTAAAGACAGAGGAAGAAGAAGGTGAAGTGGGTGAAGAAGGGAGGGATGGATGGTTTTGTAATTTCACTCAATTAGGGCTAAGTGTTTGGTCGACAAAATATAACAAAATTTTAAATTAATTGCTTTAATTTTTAAAGGATAGAAAGGCACATGTAGAACATAAGAAACAAGAAAATAAGAATTCCATCTAATATTTAAAATTAAAAAGCATGACTTTGTGGTAAATTAACCTCACAACTGACAACTACGTCAAGGAAAGGGCCAATTTAGTATAGCAAAAATAAAGTTTAAGGACCAACTTGGTCTAATACTCAAAGTTTAGATACCAAAATGGTGATTTAACCTTCTCATTTTCCTCTCCCTATATCATCTTTTCTGTTGTACAACTTGTACCACTGCTTTCATTTTTTCCGTATTCCCTCCTATTTCAGTTTCCATTCCTACTTCTCTCACCTAGAAGACGCAGTAACTGCCATCGGAGACTCTCCGGTAAACCTCTTCTGAAAAGGCCTTTACTTAACGAAATTTCTGTCGATTTCCTCAACGTTCAAAATCTCTCCCAGATTTTTCGTTCGATTCCGGTAGACTTCTGTTCCCCTCATCGCCGTTCCTCAACTCAACCGCAGAAATCAAGGCCGCCCGTCGTAAACGAGCACAAGGAACCGATCTCGACTTTGATTGAGGCCTGCTTACTTTTTTTCTGGAGAAAAGAAAGCTTTTAGTCTCTTTTTAATCCGTTTTCTCGGTAACCAAACTTAAGACATCTTTTGATTGAGTTTTAACTTTTAACTGTGCATGAAGTTAAGTTACTTTTCTTTTAGTTATAGATATTATGAAATTATAGAGATACGGTCAAAGGTTTAACTTCGATGGATGATTTTCATGATATCATCATTACTAGTATAAGTTTTCAAAATTAAGACAAAAAAAAAACAAAAAAGTAGGTTCTAAATTCATATTTAATTTCTAAAATGATATATTTATAGTATCAATAGTTTATAATAGTTTATAACATGATGTGTTTATTGATTTTTCTCATTTGGATGAACTCATTTAATGATATATCATAATTGTTTGCATATAATCTGATTAAACAAAACTGATTATGGCAAATTGAACTTTTGCAGGGCTTGATTGGTATATATAAGTGGTTGAAGCTATGAATATCAGGGGAAATAAATTTCTGAGGTTAGCCTCTTTAAGCATTAACTTTAAGTTCTATTTAATTGCGCTGAAGTTTGAATACTAAACTTTTATTTTTTTTTTGGCTGAATTTTTCATTTGGCAACTTCTAATCATTGCATCAGTTGTGAAATTAAATGTTTTGCTTTCTGGAATTCTTTTGTTTCACCTAGGTTTGAATCAGATAAATCTTTAACTGAGCGTTATGCTGATGCAATTTTTCCGAGAAAAGTTAGAAACTCACTGGCTTCTGTCATGGAAAGTGTCCGGAGAGGGGTTGAGATGGGTTCTGAAAGGATCAAAAGCTTCAGAAAACCTACGAACTTACAGTCTACTCGTAACACGTCAGAAAAAGATTCAGGTTCTTGGAAGAAAATTCTTAATCCACAGGGATCTTTCCTTGAAAACTGGAACAAAATATTTCTCATAGCCTGTATAATTGCTTTGGCACTGGACCCTCTTTTCTTCTACATCCCAGTGGTTGTTAATAAGAAAGAGCTAAAATGCCTCGACCTTGATGTACATCTGGAAAAAATTGCGTGTGTCCTTCGTACATTCATGGATGCCTTCTATATAATTCACATGATCTTTCAATTCCGAACTGGGTTCATTGCTGCTCCTTCTGGAGTCTTTGGTAGGGGTGACTTGATTGTTGATCCTTGGGCTATTGCAAAGAGGTACTTGTTCACATACTTCATCATCGACGTCCTGTCAATTCTTCCGCTTCCACAGGTTTGTTGCTTCTCTGTAGCAAGTTCCAATTAAGTTCTTCAATATCATCAAAGAAGAGATTGCAACTTAACAATTCCTGTCACTTTGTGTTCTCTCTCAGCTTCTAATTTTGCATCTCATCCCTTTGTTGGACGGCCATCCGGATACATTTGTAATGAAGGAATTGTTGAAATACATTATTATCTGTCAATATGTACCAAGAATTCTTCGAATTGTTCCCCTTTATATAGAAGTTACACGAACTTCAGGCTTTCTCACTGAAACTGCTTGGGCTGGAGCTGCTCTGAATCTATTCCTCTACATGCTAGCCAGCCATGTAAGGGCTCCTTTTTCTTTTCCTTTTTTCTTTTTTCTTTTTTTTTTTTAAGGGACAGTTTGGATTTCCTTACACTTAAATAAACCTTTCAATTCCAGGTTCTTGGGGCCATCTGGTACTTGCTTTCATTAGAAAGACAATACCGGTGTTGGCGTAATGTCGCTGGGAAAAATGAGACTAAACTAGCTTTTTTGTACTGTGATCATAAAAACAAATCATCAGAGGATGATTTTCTACGTCTCCTGGATACTAACTGCTCTTTGATCAATCCTGATGATATTACAAATTCAACCGTCTTCAATTTTGGAATATTCTCTGAGGCACTCCAGTCAGAGATTGTGGAAGCTAGGAGATTCCGTAAAAAATTCTTTTACTGCTTCTGGTGGGGTCTGCGTAATCTCAGGTTTGTATATCACAATCTCCTTATTGATTATTGAATTACTCAAAAATTAATGTTTTCCTTATTCATTCTCAGCTCTCTAGGGCAGAATCTGCAAACAAGCACTTTTGTTGGGGAGATTATCTTTGCTGTTTTCATTTCCATTGTTGGACTGGTCTTGTTTTCATTACTTATTGGCAACATGCAGGTATTTCTTGATGCTTTTCATCTTCCATCTTTTATTTTTAGTGAATATGTCTAAGATTGCTTCTCTTGCTTTTATAGAAATATCTGCAGTCAACAGGAGTAAGGGTTGAAGAAATGAGAGTCAAAAGAACAGATGCAGAGCAATGGATGAAACATAGAATGCTACCGGAGAACCTAAGGGAAAGAATCCGGCGGTATCAACAGTATAAATGGCAACAAACCAGAGGGGTTGAAGAAGAGAGTCTAATTAGTTGTCTTCCAAGAGATCTCAGGCGAGACATAAAGCATCATCTTTGCTTGGATCTGCTCATGAGAGTAAGAACTTTCCTAAAAGCATCACATCTCTGTAAGTTCATACCCAGCATAAGATCAACGCTAATATTCTTACTTCAGGTACCCATGTTTGAGAAAATGGATGAGCAGCTGTTAGATGCAATGTGTGATCGTCTCAAACCTGTACTTTACACTGAAAAAAGCAACATTGAAAGGGAGGGGGATCCGGTGGAGGAGATGCTGTTTATAATACGAGGAAATTTGGTCAGCACCACCACCAACGGTGGAATAACTGGCTTCTTCAATGCTGTTAATCTCAAAGCCGGTGACTTTTGTGGAGAAGCACTT